AAGTGGAGAGAGAAGGCTTGTTGAGAGAAATAAGATAAGATAAAATAAAATAAAATAAAATAAAATAAAAAAGAGAAAAGCTAGAAAAAGTACATGGAAAGTCTCACCACTACCCCAAGGTCAAATACATACTTAGTATTTACTATCAAAGAGAGAGAGAGAGAGAGAGAGAGAGAGTTAGTTAAGAATATAAATTTTTAATAAAAAAACATTAATTAAGGAGAGAGGGAAAAAAAAGAGTTACGATATAAATGGCATTCTCATTCTTGATTAATTTCATTACATGGCATAAAACAAAAGATTGCAATGGCCACTAATCCGGCCCATAGATGGCCACACAACTTTATTCCTACCATTCAAACTTAACTTTCATTACAGGCCAGCCCATATCGTACTACTTCCCAAAAGACCAAAAGTTCAAAACAATCATAAAATCCATCACACGATAAGAACCACAATAGAAAGACTCATGGAAGAGAGCTCATTTTCAAAGTCAACCCAAATATGTCTTGACTCTTCATGGGAGTCAATGGCTTTGGCTTTGGCATCTTCAAGTTAAGGGAGCTCATTAACCGGATTCTCCCAATCTTTCTTGAAAGGCTCAGACTCGGTAAGAATGGCACTCGCCGTTTGGTCTAGCTCAAACTCCTCATGCTCAATTTGTTCCAATTCCTTTTGAATTCTGTTTAGCTCTTTTGTTAATGCCTCTTTCTAAGTTGTAAGTTTTTCAGCATGTTCTCTGATTTTTGGATAAGGTTTCCAAGGCAAGTTGGAAATCTTCAAAATCCTTATTCCTAAGCTTTACCTTCTTTTCATACTGAGCAATAGACGAGGTGCAAGAATTCATATTTGAGGCAATAAGTTGGAGTTGATGGTGTAGTTTGTTCAATGAATCCTTGATATAGTTCCTTTGCCACCTTGATAGTTTCCTCTGAAGGACCTGGAAGCATAGGCATGCTAGCACTAGAGGTTGATGTACTTGAAGACTTGGTGGCTTTGATTACCTTGTACAAATCCTCTAAGGCTGGAAGAACTCTTCGTTTCACTATAAAGGAAGCTGAATTCGAAAGAGAAAGAGTAGCCTGAGATGAGGTTATACGTGAGTAATTAATCAAAGAGAAAGCAAAAAAGGAGGCGAAGTTTAAACTTATAAAAACTTGCCTCTTGAATGTAAGGTGTCTGTCGTAGTTCCAATTATTGGACCAGAAGGTACTGGTGCTTCAATAGTTGGAGTTGGAATTGGCAAGTTTTTTCCACCTTGACTGGCCAGACTTTTAAAAAATTAAAGCTTGGAGGTAAATAAAAAGGAATTTTGGACGATTTTACAAGATTCCTTGCCAGTATAAAATATATAAAGAGGAAGAGTGTCACCGAGATAATCTATTTGAACGGTTTGCTTTTCTTCTGCTTTGGAGAATCTCGAGGCAAGTTGAAGTCCTCAGCCTTTTCCAGGCCAGAAAGGATTTTATTTTTAATTTTCCAATTGCTTTGCCTGTTGGACTGTGTTGGACTGTGTTTCTTAAGGGGTTTGCTAGAATGTTGAATGGTATTTGGAGGCACTTTTCTCTCTACCTGAAGAATCTCCTTCATCAGAAGAAAAATGACGAGGTTTGAATTATTTTCTTTTCTTTTTTTTTAATTGGTACTCACATAGAAAAAAATGGTACTCATATACACGTCTCTTCTTAGATTTGAATTCCTGACTTCCCTTTGACAAGTAAGAAGTTAATACCGCTAAGTCAGTGACCCGTTGATGGTTTGAATTCCTTTTTGACAATGAGAAGTTCCTGCATAAAGATTTATAGTTAGTTCCAGAAGTTGGAAAGTAGTTGAACCTCTACTAAAATACCTGAGAAAGCTTTTCTTTTCCTTTGAACAGAATATCTGATCAAGCTATGTGGCCATGGCACAATTTGTAGTTCATAAAAGTCAACGCAATGATTCAAAATGTACTCAAATAGTGTCTCACATTCCCCAAGCATCGAACAAGCTCGGGAATGGGCGCAATTGATAAGATTATTTGAAATGGGGTAGTCTAAACGGATTCGATCGATAAAGTAGTCCAACCACAATTGATGAGTTTAAAATTGAATGAAGGCGGGCGAGTAATAACAAGCACATAACAACAGTTCAAATTCAAAAAAAAGAATCGATCTCCTCGGCTGTTTCCTCGTATCACAATAATTGTACCAGCATATTGCTTTAAGTACGACATCTATCCATTCAAATAGATACGAGACAATTGATACATTAAATTTATCCTTTTACTTGAGTTTTGGTGATTGATACCGATCAATGTTCATATTTATTGTAGAAAAAACGATGTCCTTCCAAGTCATGTAGAATCATGCTTCAACAATCTCTAATTAATTTTTTGAATTAATTTCACTGATACCTCTCAAGTTTAGTCAAATATCACATTGAAACAATTTTTAAAAATTATTATCGCATATATTACAAACGTTTGGTCTATTTTTCCCTCACATTTCAAGAGTTACTTTTCAGTTGTGTCGGATCACTTGTTGCACGTAAAAAGATATTATTACCCGTTTGACTTTGTGTGGCCAAATCAATTGACTAACATTATTCTTTATGCCTGTGTGTGTATATATTTCTCATCATGTCTGTACCAATTCCACCACCACCATCAATACCAATTTCACCACCACCATCATCATCTCACTTAGCGGGAGTTTCAGAACCATCATCCCCACCACCACAATTAAAAGTATAATTGAAATGGATAAAAATATTTCATAAATATTTATACTCCTAATCTTAATCTCACACTTTCATTTTTACAAATACCGGCCACTAGCTTATTTTTATTGTGTCCAAATATGTGCCTTTCTATTTTCTGTTCTTTTGTATTTGAGATGACACCCTACAACAGAAATATATCTAAAAATTGAATTGATTTGTTCAAGCCCGTCATCTTTTTAAAAGTCAAAATGCCAACGAAGATCATCTCTATGTAGTCACTGGAACCTGCAACTACCATCCTCGCCTTCGCCGGAGTCTTCCTCAATAGTAATCATTGTCGATCGTTGTCTGTCGCCGATCATCAGGTGGCGAAGACTCTTGACGCAGTACGATTTGAATTCTAAAATTGAGAATTCCGTCCAAGCCATGAACAACGATTGGTCTTTGCACTTGAGAACTGTGAGAATCGATTCTAGTTTGTGCTCCGGTACGATAGCGATGATGACGGCTCTGGGATGAGAGAGGATGATGAGGAGGAGGAGGAGTCACCTCTGTATGCAGGGTGTGTATCCAAATCAATTAGGCTTGTAAGCCTGCTCCATTTGGTCCATTAGGGTGGTTTGGTGTCCATTAGGGTGGTTTGGTGGCTGGTGGGTGAAGAAGAAACAAAGAATAGGGTTTCGATTCTTTCGAACTTTCGAGAGACACATTTATTAGGGGTAGTTTTGGCATTTTAATTTTATTATATTATGAATTAAAATATATTTAAAAAGTGTGGGTTTATATGATATTTTTAATTTTAATGACATCAATGAAGGAAAATTAAAATGAGATCTAAGTGATAATAATCTTTAAAAATTATTTTTAATGTGATCTTTAACCTTCAAAGTACCAATGTTAAGTTTAGTATGCATGAATGGAATGAAATAAAATTTGGAATGGAATGAGTATTACCATTCTAATGTTTGGTGTGACACGGTGAATCGTTATGAAATGAAATAATTATTACCATTTTATTGTTTGGTATTGATGTAAAGGCCAAAAAATAATATATATATATATATATATATATATATATATATATATATTTAATGATATATCAATCTTAATAATATATAAAAAATCGTGCACCATAAGATCAACTTAAAATAAAGTTAAGGAAATAAATAAATCATCAACCCAACAAAAAAACCTGATAATATTTCCAAGTATTTGTGTAATTTTTTTTTTTTAATTTTTTTTATTGTAAATTTCTTGAAAATTTTAGTTCCAATAAAAAATAAATAAGTAAGGTTCTCCAATAATCCAACAATGAACTTGACTAAGGGTCCAAAAGTCAAACTAATCCACTTTTGGTTTCAAATGATTACACAAATATTTCAACACAAAGATACAAAAAAAATAAATAAATATAAAAATAAAAAAGTAATATACTCAGAAGAAAAAAGAAATTTAATATCTACTTATCAAAAATAAATAAACAAATAAATTAATACTTATATTTTGGTTGAAAGTCCTGCAACTTTTTTGTCAATGGCAGCTCTGGGTATATTCAGAAGAGAGGGAAGATGAAAGACATTTATCACGTCTAATAAAGAAGCTGATAAACATGAAAAATGGAATGTGAAAGATTTTTGGTGAATACTAAATATTTTTGCCTTATTGGAATGTGATTAAGGACTTATTGAGAATATTACAAAAATATTTTATATGGTCATTCCATAAGTTTATTAATGGAATGGATTTTCATTCTATTGGAATGATCATTCCACTCCATTCCATTCCATTCCTACAAACCAAATAACTAAGTGGTTGGAATGAGCATTCCATTCCATCCATTCATACACACCAAACATAAAAGTATACACAAGTAGTTGATTATATGGATCAATTTCAAAACACCTCAAGTCTTCAAATAAATAAATAAATAACTTTTATTAAAACAAAATTACATTTCCCAAGGGAGATTCATTATTATAAGTTATAATGGGTTTGTTTTCAAAAACCCATTAGATACGTCACACCGGGTTAAATTTTTACTTTTTAAATTTTATATTTCTTGTCTTTGTTATCTTTTAAATTCATTTAATTCCCTTTTAAAAAAAAAATCAAATTTTCTTTTTGAAATCAAAGTCTAATTTTTTTCCTTTTAAACTTCTCTATTTTTTCTTTCCTTTTTAAAATTTTTGTTAACTATTTTTGTTTCTTATTGACATATTGTTTTGAGAAATTTTTTTCTTTATTTCTTGATTTAAAGAATCTATAACAGCAGCAACAACAGGTTGCTAATCTTCCGGATGGAGAAAGGGCAAGGGATATCAGAATTTTCACTTCCTCAAGAAATAATCTTCCAGATACTTAAGCAGCTTCCTGTAAAAAGTTTGTTAAGATTGAGGTGTGTTTCGAAACTTTGGTGCTCCATTATTGACGATCCCTTTTTTGTTCAGTCACACCACAATCGCTCCCATACTCGTCCTGGTGGTATCAGTATCCTCCACTCTAGGATAAACGACGACGACGATACTTGTAGACTCGAGTTGGCAGACCCCGAGGTTGATTCAGTCCAGCACATTCTAAATTTGCCTCACCTAAGATATCGAAATCTACAGTATCACAATGGCCTCATCTGTATAGAAAACTGCATATTAAATCCTAGCACACGAGAATGCATAATCATCCCACCACCATCCATTAGTAAGACTAAAGCTTCCTTCGAGGAATACTTCCTAGGGTTTGATTCTTCAGCTAACAAACCCAAAGTCCTTTACAGACGCTCTATTATTACTAAACTACACCCTCCAGTAAGACTTGAGTGCAAGATTCTGACGCTCGGCACCAACTCCTGGAGAGACATTGATGGTTCCATCAATTCTTATTGGAAATCCAGTCTTTCTTGTTGCATTGCAGGTGTTATATATTGTATATATTGTTTAGATCGTAAATCGGATGAAAATGTGTTGATGGCTTTTGAAGTGGAACACGAGAAGTTTTCAGTCATGTCTCTCCCGGAAGGCGCAAATTCTGCCTGTTCTTTAGTACAGGTTGGAGAACGTTTGGCTCTGATGGACTTTGATAGGAAGACAATTTGGATATCGGAAGACTGCCACAAGCAACTGTGGAACAAACAGAGCCTCAAAATGATGTACAAGGGGGAGCCACTAATAAATAAGTATGGTGTGTCCATGATACCATACGGTACCATTCATACCTCAGAGATATTAGTCGGCTTATTTTTCTCATCCAAAGAGACACCGAAACTGTCTTATTACGATTTAGAAAGTAAAAAGTTAAGGATCCTCAAAAAAGAGGCTCCGCATGTTCGCTCCTGTACCAAATACGTGGAGAGCTTATTTCGGTTGAAAGGGTTGTGAGTTATAGGTAATAACATTGCTAGAGTAATTTATTTGCGCACTTATTCTCGGGATTCCAAGTTTTTAATTTTGATTCTTTCAGTATGTTTAGTAGTTTATGGTTGTAACACAATTTGATCGATCTAGCTATAGTTAACTCTCAAATTGCTTTTATATATTGATAGTACCCTAATGAATTTATCCAGTTGAGATAATCTTAGATGCTCATGTCTCATGCCTGTACAAGTTTCTTGAAGATCTAACTAAATTATCTTGAGGGACAAAAGTTTCTGCTTCATTCCAGCTTTTGTTAAGCGCGCATTAGTATTCTTTACACAGTGCAAAATTTATTTTGTCTTAGATGTTTGATAGCCTAATTCAACGCATAATTCTGAATGGATTAAGTGTTTTATCTAAGTACATTTTGAATGGCACCACGGAAAATGAATTCAATTTTTAAATGAACGAATTAAATTAAAAAAAAAAATCTCAATTTACAAATGTCACTTCAAAATTCATCACTTAAAATTTAACTCTTATAAATTCCAGTTTTATGAAGTAAAAACTCATTTCTTTGTATTTAAACTAAATATATATAAGTTTAAATATTGAGGAGTGAATATCATGTTTGCTTGTGACTACACCTCTGAGCTTCTGTGATGATCGTGGTGCAGTATATACAGACTTATCCCAAACTTTTTGAGGAGCATTCTGCTGAGACTGGCATGCAGATTCATTGGAAATTTTTAGGTTTTGTTGTTTTTTTATAGTTTAGATACATTGCATTTGTTTCGATTCATGGTTTGATTTTCCTATTGTTAAGCTTGATAGACTATTTGGAAATTGTATTCCATGTACTTGTGAGATATGTCTCATTTAGTCCTCTTGTGCACAACTGATCCAAAACACAAGTATAAATATCAGATATTGTCATCATGTAGCTTTTTCACAATTTTCTTTTAATTTTATTTTCCTTTACTTGTATTTCCTTTATTCTGTTCTATCCTTAGGAGTATAATCTTAGTATAACTGGAAGGGTTTCTCAACTTCTCACAGTCACACTCTCTCCAAAATGAGCTTGGCAGCACTTGTGTATCACACATGGATTGAGAGGAACAGAAGGATTTTTCAGAAAAAAAAAAAGCCATAACTGCAAACTCACTACTACACCAAATTCTTGAATCAATCAGATCAAAGATCATACTCTCATCCATCACAGACACATCCAACGTTTCATGGATTACAGCAGAGTGGGATGTACCAGATTCCATTATCCGACCACCAAGGAAACCACCTGACCACTGCAATTGAGATACTATCTAGCTGGAGTTATGCTCCTGTTACCGGAATTGGGATGCAATATATGGTTATCTGTTTATTGCTTTGTGCCTTTTGGGCTCTTTGTTTCTTTTCTTTGCTTTGTATTTGGGCGTGGCCCAACTTTCTTTCCATTAGTTAGCTATGGCTAACTTTGTATCTCTTGCTTTTTATGCAATTCAACTTTAACTTTCAAAAAAAAAAATAATCTTAGTATAACAAAAATTCCTTTACTTGTAATCTTGTACTAGAATTGTACTTATGGAATGAAATATAGACATCTGGCTTTTTCCCCTTCATATTTTGTTTTATAAAATAATTTTCATGGAATGTTTGTGTAGTTTCTTTTACTTCCTTAATTCATTCCCTTTTCTGCAATCAAAGACCGAGGCATTAAAGAATTTAAAGAAAAGAAGAAAGAATAATAATTTTAGATAGTAAAAAAATGAAAAAAGATAGAAAAATGACATAACTTTAAAAAATTAAAGAAATTCTACTTTATAAAGAAAATTATGAAAATTTAAAGAGAGGGAGGAGAAAATAAGAAAAAATTTAAAAACTAAAATAATTTTAGGGGTATTATATATAAATTTTGGGTTAAATGCCCTCACACCCCATGAGGTTTCAATTTATTGCTCTCATGATAAACCTCAGCCAATTTTGCTAATACGCCCTCACGAGGTTTGGTTTATCTTGCTGTGACACCCCTTTCTTTTAAATTGATAAAATATAATGGCTAAATTACCCTTCATGATTTTATGTAAATATAATGTCAATTTAATGGACCAAAATAGTACTAACAATTCTTCCATGGCGAACCCAAACACCACCACAATTACAGTACCACTGGAAGAGCAAAAAACATACAAGCCATGGTCACCCCAACCACCGCCACCACACCATAACCACTTGGGAGGGAGAAAAAAAAAATTAGAAGCCATTGCCGTCACTATTTCTACAAAGTCATTCCAATAGAATTTATCAAAAATAATAATAATAATAATAAAATTAGAAACAAAAAAAAAAAAAAAAAACATGATATAGATTTTTTTTTTTTTTAAAATCCATTTTAGTTTCAAAAAAAAAAATTCCATTTTATTTTCCTTCCATTTCTCGGCAACCAAACAGAGAGTTGGTTTACCAAAAAAAAAAAATTCTTTTGATAACCACCCTACCTCTTGATATATATATATATATATATATATGAATTATATGGGAATTAAGAAATAGCCCTCCCTCTTCCCTTGCCTCATGACGTACTGTGATAGCGATTCAGGGAGGGAAGAGAGCGAATTGAGTGTAGGATAATATTGTCATTTCACGTTTTATTTGTCTACATAATTTTAAAGTTAAAATAAAGGTAATGGTATTATAGTAAAATCAATTTTTTCTTACTTTTCATAGGGGTGTAAGAGCAAAAATGGCTAAGTTTAATATCAGGGCAATAAATCCAAACATGAAGGGGGTGTTGGAGCATTTAACCCATAAATTTTTATATATATGTAAAGAAATTATACTCCCCCCGTCCCATATTAGTAGTTCATTGTTCTCTTTTTACATATCCCAAATTAGTTGTCCTCTTTGAAAAGTCAAAACAAATAAATTCTAAATTTTCATCATTGTCCTTTATTTTTTAAAAAAATTTTAAACTTTGTAACTATATATATTTAAATTAGAAGGGACAAGTTGGTAATTTTAAAAGGGGACAATGCATTAAATGCATATTCCCTTAAAAACTCCAATTTCTATATACGGATCTTTAATGTGGGACGGAGAGAGTAAAAATTACTATATATATAATACGGTAGGCGGATCAGGCCAAGCCAGGCGATCAAGTCTTCAATTAAATAAATAACCATTTTATTAAAAGAAAATTACGTTTCCCATCTACCATAGTTTGAGCTTAAATGATGTAGGTCCTCCACGGAACCACATCTCCTTCCAACGCCCAATAGATACGAGTGCGTAACTGATGCAAACAATATATATGTTGGCGTGAGTTGTTAACAGAGGATCTTGTGGAGAGATTATAGGGATTTTATGTATTTATTTGGTTTCCATTGATTATGTATTTCCAAGAATTATAGCCTACATTTGTGTACCTTCTAAGAATAGATTCTTCTGTATATACTTTATAAGCATACTCTTGAATTCTGGAAATTATGAATTTGAATAGAATTTGATATCTTTTCATCATGGTATCAGAGCGTGGTTAAAAAAAAAAAAAAAAAAAAAAAAAAAAACCCATTTGATTCATTGTTCCAGAATTTTTTTTTTTTTTTTTTCTCAAAAAATCAAAACCCAGATATCTATCACCTCTCTGTAATCAACAGAACTTGCCATCTCTCTGCAAATCACAAAATTTAGAAACCGGATCTCTAGTTACCAGCCCGCAAGATTCCATTTTACCGCTGCCATACACCGAGGATCCATCGCCGGAAAAGGAGCCAGCAAGCGCGCTGTCCTCGTGAAATATTTGAATGCCCAGATCCGCCGCCGCGAACTCAGCTCCGCAGCCGCGAAATCCAGATTCGCCAACGACAAGTGAAACAAACGATGCCCCAAGACTCGTCGTCGTCATCACTCGTCACCGACGAGACCTAGTCGATGTCGCTGTAGTCATCGACGTCCACTACGTGAACCATCTCTGGATCTGTCACGCCGTTGCCCTTCCTCGCCGCGCCGGACAGCAACCAAAAACCCAAACCAGTCGCCGATCTGAGGACGACCCGCCACCGTGATCGGTTGGTCAATTATACATCAACCTTCACAATAGCACGAATCATTGTAAAATAGGGCTATTGGTCGAGTAAGTCGAACCACTGGGACTACGCTAGTCTAAAGCAACCTAAATGTCTAGAATCATTCTTAGGATGATGAGGTGTAATAAAGAGTTGTTAATTGTTTGTCACTTATACTATGAATTGAAATATGCATTAATGAAGAACTTGCAAGAATTTAAGAGATGAAAGACGAGTAAAGAAGACTAAGGAAGTGAATCCGCCTCCATCCCTATACACATGCTAGATTAGACCTAAATTAAGGGAAAAACAACATATGATGGTCAAGAACTACATAGCAACACATAGTTGCCATGTAAGTAATCAAGAGGTACATTAGGTCTCAAACAAGTATAATCCATCAAAAGGGTAAACATGGTTAGACTACCTAACTAAGGTGTAGCTTATACACGTTTACTTAAATGAAAGACTATCAAATTCTTGACAAAATGATGAAGCACATGGAGCTAGAGATTAAGCGTACACCATCAAAGGATTTCCTAAGCAATGGTCTATCAAAGTCACCTATCAACATGCCATTAAATCATTTCATAACCTTGTTTCCATTCTCACCATGTAAACTCAAGCAAAAAGATTAATACAAGACATCACCTAACATAAGATAATGAGCTTGAAGAAATCTTCCATACATATATAAACATTCATTACACCAAATGAAGTGCTCTTAGCTATGAAAAAGACCATAAATATACATTGCAATCCCCCAATATAGACTACCCTAGGACATGCTTACAAGGGAGGGACTTCATCACCTCCCTAGAGAAAGAGTTAGTTACCCATTGCTAAGCTAGAAGAAGGAAGAAACTCCATCCAAGACTCCATTTTCGTGCTCCTTCCTTTGCTTGAAGAACTCCTCCCTTTTTTTTTCCTCTTCCCTCTCCTCTATCTTCTCAAAATGAAGCT